CAGAACAGAAGACGACATAATACGACATCACAAAACAGAACCGAGCATAACACAACACACCTTGATAAACATATAAACTAAACCGAGCTGTCAACAAGATCACGGAATATAATATACTATACTGAGCCGAATTGTCAACATCATCACGGAACAGCGCATACTGGAACATAGCCTGGCATAACACATCATGCCATAACATCGTGCCACAGAGCAGGCCATAACATAAAATCCCAAATCATATGGTGACAGAGATGCGCATAACATAACATACATGCGCAATCAGAAGACAACCATATGAGTGAAGAAGACCACCATAACAAACGGCACATCAAACGACACAAACGTTACAACGTCACGCCGTCCCATCGAACACATAACCGGACAGACAAAAACAGAACATGAAAGAACGTGACTACATGGATCACGGTGGAACTGATGTTTTACTACAGGAACGGCAGTTGTACAGTGGTGGAGAGGAGTACCACGGCAAAACAGGACAGAAAAACCTACTAACAGAGCAGATCATACTATACTGATTGGAGCCGCCACGTCAACAGCATCATGGAAGCGAGCATACTATAACATAGCCTGACAGAACATACCATGTCGAAATATGGAGCCACAGAGCAGAGCATGACATAACATAGCAACGCAGAGTGTGACAGAAAGGAACATTACATAACATACTATAACGGAGGAGATCAAGGGAGGGCAGAGGCTTGCCCACAGGAGCCAACAATCACAGCAATGAGCGATTCGACGACGTATCTCACGTGACAAGCATTACGATCTCACGTTGAACCGTCGATATCAGAACATCACAGAACACAGCGTCACACAATACAGCGGGGCAGAGGGACTGCTCTGGCGATGTGAGCCTACCGCACACACACACACACACACTCACACTGTAGCACAACATCACGTATGCAGCAGCCACCACTCCACGGCGTCGCCCAGGCGTCACGACGTCACGCTGGCCCGTCGAAAATATCACAGGACATACTAGAGCATCACATGGTAGAACGTTGTTACATTGAACATTGTGGAAGTGACAGGCGTCGCGCCATCACGCTGGCTGGTCGAGATCACAACATCACAGAACACAGTATCGCAGACTTCATCAGGGCAGGATCCAACCAAACACATTATAGCAAAATATCGCCTATACAATAGCCACCACTTCACGGCTGGCGCGTCGAGGACATAAACGGACATAACAGAGCATGATGAACAGTTACCACATGAAGCATTGAAGAACACTTTTGAAGACAGCAAAGGCAGTAGTGGATAGTAGTATCACGACAGAACAGGACATGGCAAAACACACAAAGAACCTATCGTATCATTATATACTGAACTGAGCCGTCAACAGCATCACGGAACATACCATACTTTAACATAGCCTGACAGAGTATATCATGTCCTCACATGGTGCCACTGAGCAGAACGATTCGACGACGTATCTAACGTGATAGGCGTCACGACGTCACGCCGGCTCGTCGAGATCAGAACATCACGGAACACAGTTTTACGTATTGCATTGCGGCAGATTCCAATTCAACATGCTATATCACAGCTACCACTACACAACCTCGCCTAGGCGTCATGACGTCACGCCGGGCCGTCGAGGTCAGACCATAACAGAGCACAGTGTCACATACTGACTTGGGGCAGAGTCCAATGAAACACACTACAGCACAACATCACGTATACAGTAGCCACAGCTGCACGGCGCCGCCCCGTCGTCAGGCTCACCACAGGGACAAACAGGCGCAGCAATGACCGATTCGATGACGCGCGGGACGCGACAGGCGTCCTGAAGTCATTCCGTCTCCGCTCTCCGCCCCGCCAACTCATCCTTGTCCTTGCCTCCTCCGTCCCCTCCTTTTTCTCTCCGACAGGTTGGGGTTGTTAGATTTCAAGAACAAGCCCCCCGGCCAACCCCACCCTGCCTACCGCGGCCGCCAGACCCAAAAATGCCTCGATGGTCCCAGTTATCCCACCTCGCGCCCGGCCAACCCCACCTTGCATACTGCGGCCGCCAGACCCCAAGATGTCACGATGATCCCCGAGGGTCCTTGGTGTCCCGCCTCGCGCCCTCGACGAAAACGACAAAACAAAACATGGCATAAAGGCACAGAGCATGACAGAACATGGCATAATAGAGCATAGCAATGTCATGACTGAGTAGAGCATGACAGAACATGTCATAACAGAGCATGACATAACAGAACACGGCAGATCGCAAAATGACATGACATCACAAACAAAAACATAATACGACAACAAAACATAGCTACGACGAACACGACATAAACACCGTGACACGACAAACATGACAGAACATAACACGAATTTGACAGACCATGGCAAAACCGAACATAGCAATGTCATGACAACGCAGGGCACAACGGAACACCACATAAAATACCAGAGCAGAACATGACAGGACAAAAGACGACAGAACGCAGCATGACATAACATAACCGAGCATACCATAACACACCTTGACAGAACATATCATATCATGCCACAACAGTACAGAACATATCATAGCACGATAGCAGAGCATAGCGGCGTCGAACACGACCGAACACCACATGACACACTAGACCATGACAGAACAGAACACGAGCCTGACAGACCGTGGCAGAACATAACATATCAATTCCATGACAAACCAGGTTATAAACAGAGCATAACACACCATACCAGAGCAGAACATGACAAAACCGACGACGGCATAACACAAGATAACATAACATAACCAAGAATAACAGAAATACTTGTTCCACGCTCAGCTCAGCCGTAGACGATGAATGGCTTGCCCATGGTACTCTTGATGTGCAAGCGCTTGATGTTGTTCCAATTATTTTTCAACAGCGACACGAGGAAATTGATCGCCATCAGCGAGTTCATCCTCAACTCGTCTGGGGTCATGTTCAAGTTGCCGATGACCACGCCCATTCAGAGAACCTTCGTCAACTGGAACTTCAACTGGCTCGTCAACTGCAGAGCCGGGACGTCAACAAACACAACATCACAGAGCATACCAGAGCATAACACAATATAACATAGCAGAGCCGAGCATACCATGACACACCTTGACAGGAGAGATCGTATCATGACATATCATTACAGAGCATGGCATAGCATTACAGAACAGACAACGACGCGACAGCATAGCATAGCGACGCCGAACACGACAGAACACAACATGACACACTGGAACATGACAGAACAGAACACGCGCATGACAGACCATGGCACCACAGAAAATATCAATGCCATGACAAACCAAAACATAAAAGAACATCATATAACATGCCAAAACAGAGCATGGCATAACGGAAAACAGCACAACACATCATAATATGACAGAGTCGAGCATAACATAACACGCCATGCCATAACATATCAGATCATGACACAACACTACAGAACATACCATAACACAACAGCAGAGCATAGCGACGCATACTAGCAGAGCATATTATGATATACTATACAGGACAGAGACGTCACCAACAATAACAATACATACCATACGATAACAAAACATGGCATACAGGCGACACAACACAACACAACATAAATAACCAAGCATAGCATGACATGCCATATCATAACATGTCATACCACACCATGAAGGCATCGCATACCATGTCATAACACACCAACGCGCAACGATCCATACTGACAGGAGAGATCCGATTATACGAGACTGAACCGAGCTGCCAACATAATCGCGGAACAACTCATACTATACCATAACCTGCCACAACATAGCATGTCATACCATAGTGTCGCAGAGCAAATCGTACCAGAACATCTTAACGTATGTGGTGTCAGAGATGACCGTAACATAACATACTCAATCAGAGGAGGAACACAAGTGAAGAGGAACCTCATAACAGGCGACGCAGTCGCAGGCGTCACGACGTCACGCTGGCCCGTCGAGAACAGCACACTAATAATAGAGCACAGCATGAAACATGCCTACATGGAATACGGTTGAACCATTGAATCCAGAAACGGCAATTGTCGACCAATTCGGCGACCGCGCGACGTCGGGAGCAAACGCGTAAGGTGTCGGTGGGGATCGATCGAAACAAGATAATGTGTTGGTTCGAGGTCTGCTATTCCACGCGTCGGCGGACAGAAAACAAACCAGCGCAATGGGAAGGCATGGGTGGGAGGGGTGGGATGTCAGATATGGCGCGTGCGCACCCAGCTTGTCCTTCATCCTCTCTCCTCTTCCTTATCATCCACCCTGCCCCTCCCCGTCATCCATCATCAGTCCTCCTCCACCCCCTCTTTTCCATCATCCTCTGCCTCCCTGGTTATCATCTTATCTCTTCGTCATCGTCGCCCGCCTCATCCCCATCCTCCATGGGATCCCTTCGTTCACATTCATCCCTGCAAGTCATTCAACACACGATTGTACTATTTGCACATGCTGGAGAAGAAAGGTAAGGCCAGCGACGCTCTGTCGAGTGAATGCCTTACAGCTGGAGCGTGTGTGCCCAGCTCCCTCGAATATCCTCGGTGCGACCCTCGTTCCTCCTCATCACCGTCCTAGTCGTCATAGGCGTCGCCCTCCTCCGCCATCCTCACGCCTTGTCCTCATCGTCATCCAGATCCCGTTCCTACCTCCTCTCCTCCCACCCCTACTCTTCCGCCCCCTCATCATGTCCCCAGGCCGCATCGTCCTCATCGAGTTTCTACTGAGGTGCAATGGCCTGTTGACAATAATTGCGAGGAGATGCGAAAGCGCAAACTCTGAAATACTCTTGGCAATGGTTGGGCGACGGGGGAAGACGAGGGCAATAAGAAGGAAGGATGTGGTGGGATGGGTCTAAATTGAATTAGTGGGCGCCGAATCCTCAATGGACGACTCGCAGCAACACGGCGCCTGAGAAAGCGGCATTGCGCCGATGTCGTACTACCCGCCGCCCGACGGGAGGTCTCCGGTGCCTCCAGAGACCCCCGCAGGCCTACAAGTGGCACGCATGCCCTGGCTCTCGCGCGAGGGAGGGCGAAGGCGAGTTTTCAAAGCCGCGCCTGGCCGTGGCGCCTCCACAGGGAGGCCGCCAAGGAGGCCAGGGGGACGAACCACGCATGCTAAAGGTGCAAAGCGCCCTCTTCCACGCCCACTTCCTCGAGGAGAGGGGGGAGGCAGCAGCAGCAGCAGCAGGCAGAGCACGGAGAACGGCAGGGTCGGCGCGCGCGGATTCCCCGCACCGCGCCACGGGCGTTCCCACCGCGTCCTCGCGCCAGCCGAGCGCAGCCGCTTCGGACTCCGACGTGGTCTCCTCGGCTCACAGCTTCCCACCCCTGCTCGTCGTCGTCGTCCTCGTCCTCGTGCTTGTCTTCGTTGCCGTCCAGCTCCCTGGGACTCCACAAAGCCTCCCGAACCCCTTCTCCGTCCCACCCCACCCCAGAAAAGGCCGGGGCCTCCGAGCACCGACGAAAACCTCCCAGAACCTCCCTCAGAAAAACATGCCCCTCTCCAGCTCCAACCCCCAATCCCACTGGACGCGCTGGGCGCTGGTGGCATCGATGTCACAACTACCGTTGCCATCCGCCCCAATCGCACTCCTTCTTCTCCTGATCCCCCTCCTCGCCCCCGCATGCCGCTGTAGATCAGGACAGGGCTCCCCTTGATCGGCATCGCCAACATCCTCCTGCTGTCATCCTCCCTCATGTCTTCTCTCTGCTTCGCTCTCCCAGTGGCGGCGATAAGGTGTATGGGGCCACGTCTTGATAGGATCGCATGGGGCCTGGCTCTAACAGCTTCCTTATTTCCGGTGAAGAAGTAGTTAGCAAAATCAGCACAATGACTGGAACCACCACCACATTGCAGAAAATTGACGCGTTGCTCAACCGGTCTAGCGGAAGGTCGCCGTGAACTCCCATGCGGGAGGAGGAGCAGAGGCAATTTCTTCCCACGCACACTTCTGGGGTTGTTTCGCACTCACTCTTGCCGTACGTGGCGCACTCAATTCCGAAGTTGAAACGAGCATCCATATCAAAAGAAATTCAGACACATCAAAATAGTTCCGCTTATCGAGAGATGGAGAAGGAAAAGGCAATGGAGAAAAGGGGTAAAACAGAAAAGACGACGACGAGGGGAGAGGAACGGAGACTCCTTGTCAATCCCTCTTATTCCTCCTCCTCCCCCGGCGCTCACCCCCCTCATCACCATCAGGTTTCGTCTCTTACGCATCAGAGTGAGACGGCTGAGCGGCCTCGCGCTCTCCCTGCGTGCATGGCTGAAGTAGAACTCCTCCGTGAGGATCGTCGTGGTTACTGTCGTTGTTGCCGATGCTGTCGTCGTCGTCGTCGTCGCCCCCGCGACCCACTCGCGACCCTCGACCCATCCGCGACATGCCCGCGACCCGCCGCGTGACGCGCTGTGCATGATTGAAGAGAGGGCTTGGACGATTTCGCACGCTCGGGCGATGAGAGGAGTGAAAGCACGACCTAGAGGAAAAACATGCAATGCGCCGAGAATACTGAGAAAACCCCAGGGGGAAACGAACGTCAGATCAGGGCCATCATGTCCGTTCTCTGGGGAACATCTCGGATGATTCATGAAAACGCCTCACAATTGAAACGGCACGTCTGACTTCGGGTGCCTCGCGTCGCACTGATTTCGAGACGACGCGATAGTCTGCAAAACGGACGAGTGATGGGGGGGAGCGCCGGAGGGGGGCGGGTGGGAATAAAAGAGGGAATGGCAAGAAGCCTCTGCTCCTTCACCCTTACTCCTCCTTCTCACCCCCCTCGTCCTCGTCTCCTCCTCCTTCCCCCCCTTTTCCCTCGCCTCCTCCTTCGCCATTGTTCGATGGGGGGAATTCTTCGAGGTGGTTGAAATTTGTTTGATATGAACGCTCGTTGTTTGTCTGGTACCTCGTCTCCAGAACACAGGGACCGACGGCCAGCAGCGCGAATAAGGCACCGCGGAGAAACGGCACCGGGAGTGGTGAGATGTGCGGGGTCAAGATGTACAAGCGTCTGGCGCGGAGGCGTCGGATCAGCCCAAACTTGCCCTTGAGCCAAAGCTGGTACAGATCTGACCTATGCGCTTTTGACTGCGGGTGGACTTTCGAGCCACAGTGAAGAGATCATACCCCTCGCTGTGCCTCATCGTCACCCTTGTGCCCACCCAAGCCTGCCCAGCCACAGCGTCGGAGCGGTCGGGGCGACATCGATCTGGCGGGTGGTGGGGAAGGACTGATGCGCCGATGCCTCTTCTCGTTCTTCGGCGATCGTCGGCTTCACGAGCTCTTACGCCCTCGTGACTGCGATCATCACCACGCCACCGCAACACAGTGCCCTCTCACATTCCCGACGCGGGGGAGGTGCGAAAAGACGACTTCCCGCGACAGTGCTCCTCTGGTAGGGTGGTGCTCAGCAGCGCAGGGCAACGCGCCAATACGATTTATGTCACTGCGAATCATGACAGTGCTCTCCTTGATCGGTATCGCCAACAGAGAACCAACACGACATGAGGACTGCTCATCCTCCTCCCTTCTCTCCGCCTCCCTCCTCTTGGTTCTTATCCATCCCCCTCCTCCAAGACCGCGACACCACTCCTACACCTCCTCCTCGTCCTCCATCCCTCCGTTATTCAGATGCCTTCCTGGCTGGGGACTGCACCAGCATGGCCCGTGTGCAGTCAGGGCTGAGACACAGAGCCCTGGAGAGAAGTTTCCCTCCTGCAACGTGCCCATAATTCCATGGATACCCCGCCCAACTACCCGTTCTTGATACGCGCAGCGGGATTTGAGATTTGGGAAAATCACAAGGAGAGTAGACAAATTCATGAGGCCATATGTAGTGCACGCGGCATGCGATATACACGCACAGACGAGCACATAGTCACGCATGAGACACTATCAGATCATGTGCGGAAAAAAACATGCACGCACCTGTAACACAACAAAACGAAACGATGGCATCCATGCCATGCGGATGCTGCAGCACATCCGATCTGACACGGAGCGGTAAATCGCAATATCCTCGGCAACATTATGTGCCGTCGCAAGGTTGGGCAGCAACGCCTGCACCTTCTTCGGGGACAGCTGCGCCGCACTGCGGGATCCCATCGCCGTGGCTTCTTCCTGCCAGGCACGCTATTCGTTGGCAAATCTCGTTGCGACCTGCAACTGTGCGCACATTTCCCTCAAATCGCGGTGCTCTCCCTACCCCTACCCCTTCTCAATGTACACACCTACTATACGTAGCACCCGGCAGTTGCGGATAAGAGTGAAGGGGCGGCGGGGACGTCGGCAGTTCGCGAGGCTTTGAAGAAACCCGCCGCAATCGCGAAAACTTCGAGCTATACAACGAGCCCGCCGCAGGCGCCGATTTTTGGCTAAAACAATGTAGGTGGGTCGCGGGTTGGGTCGCAGGTGGGTCGCGGGTGGGTCGACGGTGGGTCGCGGGGTGGGTCGCGGGGTGGGTCGCGGGTGGGTCGCGGGTGGGTCGCGGGTGGGTCGCGGGTGGGCCCTGGGTGGGTCGCGAACGGGTCGCGGGGTGGGTCGCGGGTGGGTCGCGGTTGGGTCGCGGGGTGGTCGCGGGTGGGTCGCGAGGTGGGTCGCGGGTGGGTCGCGGGCCGGGTCGCGGGGAGGACGACGACAAGAACAACAACAACAACAACAACAACAATCATTTTACCCGAACGCTCAGTGTTCTCCCCAGTGCCAGGGTTTTCATGCGACGCCAGCCAATACCCCCACTTCGTGGGGGGGCAATGCAAGCTCTACCAAACATCCACACGACTCTCGGGAACCACCCACACCCAGCTTCCCGCCCTATGACGTCAGGACACTTCACTTCGTGGCGCGCGGACGATCGTGGATACTACACTGGCGTGGAGTACACACCCGCAGAGGTTGATCACTTGTTTGGGCCCCGCATGTGCCCCGCATGGTGCATTTGTTGCGTATGACATACATAGTACAGAGAGACAGAGAGAGAGAGAGAGAGAGAGAGAGAGAGAGAGAGAGAGAGCAAGACAGAGAGCCAGTGGAGAGAGAGATAGAAAGAGATTCGTCACATGTGTGAGGCAACCTGAGAAGATGTGGTACACGGTACACGTGAGATGGTACGCAGTGCCAAGATAGTTGGTCACATTTTTGAGGCAAATTCCTGGGAAGGCGATTACACAAGTAGATGTGTTACGTATGATAGATATGAAGCAGAGAAAGAGCGAGAGACAGAGAGAAGGAGAGAGAGGAGTCGGTCACATCTTTAGGGCAACTTCCTGAGGGATGTGGGAGGACACAAGAGAGAAGGTATCGTTGTCCCGATGGTTGTCTCGATGGTTGCCCCGATGGTTGTCCTGGCACATACAGTGGTGGATCCAACTGTCGGCACATACAGTGGTGGATCCAACTGTCGGAGCGCCCGGCATAATTTGTAAGCGGTATTATACTCGATGCCCAGGTGGCGGATGGCAGACCCGTGCTGCTCCTCCAGCTCCTTGGCGCTAGAAATACTGACCTTGCCAGTCACAACCCGATACTTGGCCCACCAAGTTTTGCACGCCTGGTGACTGGCATTGATACCCTTTGCCGCGAGCGCCTGTGCAAATAATACGCACTCTCGCAGTCGGCCAAGGGAGGCCGGGACAGCTCTGCGCCATACTGCTCGTGAAGGTCTTTCGCCGTCAAAGCCATGATCCGAGAACACAGGCGATACCTTGATCCGAGATGGCTACGGATATGAGCGTGAGAGGAAGGGGGGAAGCCTCCTGGGGCCGCTGGGGGTCCTCTTGGGGAAGGGGGGAAGCCTCCTGGCGCCGCATGGGGTCCTCTTGAGAGGCTTTGGGGGGCTTCTTGAAAGCATGTTGGGGCCTCTTGGGGGCTTATTGGATCCTCCCGGAGGACTCTTGGAGCCGCTTGGACGCCTCCTGGGGCCATCTTGGGGGCCTCTTGGAGCCAACTTGGAGCCTCTTTGGAACCTCTTGGGGGCCTCTTGGAGTCCTCTTGGGGCCTCTTGGGACCATCTTGGGCGCCTCTTGCGGCCTCATGGGCGCCTCTTGGGGCCATCTTGAGCGCCTCTTGGGGCCATCTTGGGTTTTAAAGATTCATGAAGAGCCCGCGGGTGGATTTTGATATTTTTCGGATGAGAAAGTCTTGCGTTTGCATATGTTTTCGGAACATCGCATCTTGAAATTATTGAAATCACATTATGTTTGGCAGGATTTCGGCACGCGCGCGCGGCGGCCGCGCGCATGTGCACTTCGTGTCATTTTTTGCAAGGGATGGTGGCCCTCGTAGGCTCGCAACCGTTGTTGCAGAAGGTCGAAGCACCTGAAAAGGTTCCTCGCAAAGGCCCTTTTAACAGAAATGTTTAAAATCTGGTGGGTTTCCTAGGAATCCGCAAGAGCGCGCGGAAGGACATTTTGACAATTTTTTCTGAGAAAACCATTGGGTTTTTGATGTTTTTATGTTAAAATCGCTACGAAACCTAAGGTTTTGGAAGGATTTCGTCTTGCGCGCACGAATGTCCACTTTACCTTATTTTTTGCAAGGGATTCTTGCAATTTGATCAAGTAAAAACAAGAATTTTCATTTTCTATTGTTTTTTGCAAGGGAAAACGAGCGTCAACAAAAAACCGGATCCGGAGCTCATCCACTTTTCTGAAGCTTTCGCGAAAAAATGATGAAAATGTAGCTGCGGCCTAGGCGCGGCGCAGAGGTCGCGCACCAGGGGCCCCAACAATAATAATTCTTTAGAAGGAATAATGTTCAACAACAACAACAACAACAACAACAACAATAACAACAACAATCAGTTGACCCTCATGCGTTTGGCCCTGGGTGGTCTCAGAAGAGGCCGACTGTTAAATGCTCTAAAACAGTCAAAACCACATGCATGGTGCCTTAATGTTACAAACTCAAAGTATGTCAAAACCATACTTAGAAAAAATTGGTTCGGCGCTGCTTCGGTGAGCACAGTGGCGGCGGCATTCTGCAACGACCTCATCGCTTTCGCTTAGAAATCTTACGTGGGCATCGGGGGGGTCCTGGAGAGAACGGTGTCCCGTCGTGGCGCCATTCTATGCGACGCGATGCGACGCAACGAAATCCAACAGTGATATGCTAACCGATTGTATGCTACGGTATACAATACAATGCTGCGCTGTGCTATGGTACGCAATGCAATTTTATGCCACGAGAGTCGTACATTCAGTTTATGTTAGGTTATGCTGCGCAGTGCTATGCTATGCAGTCCTCTGCTATGCTACGCAAATTCCGCCTCCTCCTCCCCCTCCCCCTCCTTCCGTGCCAGCGCCGTGCAGGATTTTTTTTGATTTGCGCGCGGGTGATCGTCTGCCGAACACTCCCGCCCGTGGCGCCGAAACGACGAGCGAGGGGCCCGAAGAAGGGCCGAAAGAAACGAGGGACGGACCAGGACCCGACAGAGCCGAGCGAGGGACCGACCCGAGCAAACAGGGACAACGAGAAACATCGAGGGCCCGATCATACAAGCGATGCTGGCAAGACTGGTGAAACAATTTGAAGCCCGCGTCCTGGCTCCTGGGCTTCCAGCCTCAACCTCTGGCCAGCAGCAGAATTGACAACAAGACAGAGTCAGCACGGCGGCGGAGAGCCCTTCCTCTCTTCGCGAGCCTGGGCTGGGGGGGGGGGACAAAAGGAGCACATAAAGGATGAGTGGGCGCAGGCGGCGCGGGTGCCTGCTTCTCAGCGCCTCTGCACCCACTCATCCTTAGCCTAGCCTAGAACCCTGACGAATCGGCACAGGACACTACAGAGAGCAAGGCTAGAGAGGCAGAAAACATGCCGCCCCCGCAGCAGGAAGCGAAGATAATTGCCTTTGCTTCTCTTTGCGAGCCTGGGCGGGGGGAAGGACAAAAGCAGCGCAGAAGGAGGATGAGTGGGCGCAGGCGGAACGGGTGCCTGCTTCTCAGCGCCTCTGTACCCACGCATCCTCAGCCTACTAGCCCCTGGCGCTTAGCCATAAGACATTTCGACTGTCCGACTGTCAGAGAGAAAGCACAGACAGAGAGGCCTGCACAGATATCCCCGAGCGGCGGGCGGGCAAGAGTCGCCTCTCTTTGCGAGCCTGGCCAGGGGAGGAATGACAAAAACACAGACGGGATAAGTGGGCGCAGGCGGAACGGGTGCCTGCTTCTCAGCGCCTCTGTACCCACTTATCCCAAACCTACCCTACTTCCTGGAAGCTGGCCTCTGTAGCGGCCAGGAAAGGGAGTACTGCAGAACAACACTTCTGGCGGCTGGCGTCGGGAGATCCGAGTAGTCCTGCCAGCGTCAGACAGACGAGACAGACCAGATATCCCAGTAACATCCACCCCACCTCCGAAGTATACCCCGAGAAATCTACGGGGCCTCTAAAAGCCATGCAGGATCAAACAATGCCTGAAAATTAAAGACATCGCGAGGGGCAGGAAAAGCATATATAACGTTGACATTGTCAACCGCAGTGACCTCACCGACTGGTTGATCAGTGCGGGGGTCACGACCGTCACACATGCGCCGAAGCCGTGAGATGGTGCCAGAGGCCCGAGGAGGCCCAGTGCATGATTTAGTAAAACCAACTGTTTTCTTTCACGAGTAGCGGCCACATCGTCGACAAAATATGACATGATTTAGCCGCCTGAGCACGTGCCCACCGCCAGTGGGAGAGGAGCACTGCGAACGCAATAAATAGCTCTTGGATGCTGAACTAGCCCGACAATTCACGCATCGAAAACGACCCGCTGAGGGGTCCCAGAAATGCTCATGCAAGGCCCCAGAGGAGGCACCAGAGAGGACTAAGGATGGGGCCGTGGGGGCAGGGGACTCATCAGAATCCGCCGCCCAAACCTTTTTGGGCACATTCTTGAAAATCCATGCTATACAATGACCGATATACACACCGAGATTGCGCACCAGCAAACCAGAGCGCTTGATACGGTCGTGCAGGACCGTGTCCAGAGTGTGTAGGCCAGCACCTAGGTTAGGAAGTCTGTCAGCTTGCTTATTACCCGCAGAGGTGGAGTGGCCACGAACCTTGGTGACCTTAATTAGGTGGTACCCGATATCTGAAGCCGCACGGTGGACACGGACCCACAAGGATGCGTGAGTGGCCC